GTTGAGTCTGTGGGCGCTGAGTCAGCCTGGTGAGCTGGTGAGTCAGAGCCCAGTGTGTGACCCAGAGCCCTGGTGAGCAGGTCTTCTCCATCTGCATCTGCATCAAAGCAAAGTGCCAAAGGCACATGAGATCACAGGGAAAGGTGAAAACACGGAGCCAGTAACAGCCAGCTCCTTTGCAACTTTAAATTACATAGTAGGACGGTATTTTGTGGCTGCGGGAGCAAAAGCAGGGGAGATTAGATGGGCATCCCTGATGTCTATCAGGGCGCGGGGCAGTGAGATGACTAGACTAGTTCTCTGCAAGAGACAGGCGCAGGGTTTTATGGAAGCTCAGAAACACCACGCAGAGGAAAGTTACATAATTTAGACCTAATAGGCTCCAACTTTCCTCCTGCCCTTTCTGCTACCGACCAATAAAGTCAAGGAAGTCCATTAGGAAACAGCGCAGAGCTGTACTAAGCGTAACTAACATTCACTGAGTTCACTGTGTGCGCCGGTCCCATTCTAAGTGTATGAGCCATTTAAACCTCACGGCCCTTTGAGCAGTAAACGCACTGCATTTTTTTAACCTAGAAAGCAGGCTTAGAGAGACTGAAGGATTCCAGCAGTTGTGCTCATGAAGGCAGAGATCTGTCTGTAACACATGCAGACGTTCCCTTTCCTGTTGACTTCCTCTGTAACTGTCTGTCAACTAATTTGACCACTGTGTACCCTTGCAGGTAGAACATATGCATGAGTTTAAGAGATAACGTAAAATTGGTTTTGAAAATTAACTCCAGGGCAGCACCTGTGGCTCAATGGGTAGGGCACCAGCCCCATTTACTGAAGGTGGAGGGTTCAAACCTGGCCCCGGCCAAACTGCAACAAAAATTAGCCTGGCATTGTGGTCCCAGTTACTCAGGAGGCTGAGGCAAGAAAATCACCTAATCCTAGGAGTTGGAGGTTGCTGTGAGCTGTGATGCCACAGCACTCTTCTGAGGGCAATAGAGTAAGACTCTGTCTCTAAAAGAAAGAAAATTAACTCCCTTAGCAATAAAGCATTGTGCTTCTCCCCGCATCAGACGGGGGGTTCCCTCTGGAGCACACAGGTGATGAAGTCGTGGTCCCTGCTCTGGGAATCCAGTCCTGTTATGGAAGACAGAGGTCAACCAATAAATCCAACAAGTTGACCTCAGGGAATATGGCTCTGGGGGCGCAAGCCCTCTGTCTCTCCTCCCCAGTCCCACAAGCATGTGCAGAGGAAGGTGATAAAAGGGGAAATTCTTTATCACAGCTGGAGACCAGAGGCCTCGGACACCTGCGTGCACGCAGTCTGAGGGGCTCTTGCTAAGCGCTCTGCAAGCGAGACCAGAGAGACTTCTGTAGTTGGAGATGGACTTCTCATCTGAGCCTGTGTGACATCTCGGGCTCTAAGTGGGGGACATCCTGGTGAAGTGCTACTAAGTCCCCCTATCCCCTGATTTGGGGGCTGAGAATCAAAGCACAAGATCTACCCCACTCTGACTTCAGAAATGACAGGGCAAGGCAAATAAATATGACAGGTGGTGGCCAGCTGTGCACCCCGGAGCAGCAGGAGCCTGCAGGGCTGGTGAGGCACTGATGGGAGGGCTCCCGGGGAGGAGGAAGAAAGGCTTCAAGGAGGAGCTGGAGGCTGAGCAGGGACTTGAAAGGTGAGGAGAGGGCAGAGTGAGGATAGAGGGAACCAGGGAGTGCTCCGCAGAGAGCTGCACCTCTGTAAACCCCAGAGAGGTGAGGCAGCAGCAGGCCACCTAGGGGGCGACAGCAGCAGTTCTGCAAGATTCTAGGGCACTGGGGCTGCGGTGCGGAGATTCGACAGGGACGAAGTGACCAGTCCTGGACGGCAGAGACAGGGTGAGCTGCTGCTGAGCGTCACGGGAGAGGTGACGCAGAATCGAGCTAGGACTAGGTGAAGGTGACTGAGGGACGGTGGACAGGAGGTGAGGCTGGTTGTGCAGCAGGAGGCTAGGAGCGAAATGGGAGCAGAGAGGTAGGCTGAGGGCCTGGCGTCCAGCACTGGGTGGCCAAAATGAAAGGGACGTCGGGAGTTCTGTGCTGGACCTGGTGAGCTGAGGGTCCCCTGGGGACTTCCAGGACAGGGCCGCTTCATTGCTCAGACAAGGGGTCTGTGGAGGGCCCAGTCCCCTGCCCTGTCAGACCTTCCATGTGTGTTGTTGCTGTAAAGTGAAGACACCCTGTGTCATCTACAAGACCACCAGGACGGCTGGATAGCAGAAAGGAGAGCTCTATTGCCAATGCCAGCTCACAAAGGGGGAAGAGAGAGGGGGAAGAGAGAGTCTTCAGTGAGGAAAGGGCCAGTGGGCTTTTATGCTTCACAGAGTCGGTAAGAAGGTCATGCAGATTCAGCAGGTTTGGGAGACAGCTGTGCATATTTATGCAGGGGACTGGGGGTGTGTGCAGTGAGTAAACACGTAGGTAACAAACATTCCACGCTCACTTGGGGGCTGGGTTTTGCCATTAAAATGAGGTAGAATTGGGCTCTTTACATCCAAGGGTGGCCTATAGGACACAAAGGCAGTTGATGCGCAGTCTGTAAGCTGCCTGAGACTGGCTTAATGTCCGCTATTGCTTATCAGAAGAGAATGTTAGTAAGGCCAGTCCCCTATCCAGCAAGCGTTGTGGTGTCTGCGTTGTAAATCAGAGTGAGGAAGGGTCCGACCATCTGGCCCACAGTGCCCGTTGTTAGGGAATGTAGCAAGAGTGTGGTTCTCCTTGTAGCTATTAGAATTTAGGAAGTTGCCCTGCCGGCCAAGCCCTGAACTCTCTACCCAGGAGGGGACTTTCCTTCCCTTAAACTTAGAGCCCATCTTAGTGGATAAAGGGGCATCTATTTTGGTCTCTCACTTCATCTAGTGGCAGCTAATCCAACACACATATTTTTGTATATAGGAGATTTCCTTTCTATTTTAACCCAGGGAAATCCCCTTCTCACACATATTCAGGAGTCATTTATTTTTAATAAAAGCTGAGCTGTAATTCACAGAGCATGAAATTCGCTGTATGAAAGTACGTGATTCACGGTGTTCTTGCCAACGTTAGGTAAAAGCATTTCAAAAGTACTTGTTCATTGCACAAATAAAAACATAATATTATGTTTTATTTTGTGTTTTAGTGTTTTAACTCTTATTATTAAAATGTAAATTGAGTGGAATATTAATTGATCCTCAACGAAAATGCATTATGTCTAATGTATTTTTCCCCAGCTATGCTCAGCTAAATGCAAGTATTCAAAAGAGCTTAAATACCAAAGAGTAAAAAGGGTTTTTATTCTTTGCAAAGGCTGAATATTTCCCTTCAGTCATTTGAGATTAAGATTTTAGCATATATTTTATTATATGAATTTCAAGTTTTCTAACATATATTCATTCTATTTTATCTTTATAACCTCTGGACTTATAATCCATGTCTTGAAATCCCTATTACATATATACTTTTTTCTTTTGGTTTTAAATTATTGTACGGTAAAATGACTTCTGATTTTGGTGGGTAGTTCTGTGAACTGTTCCACAGTCCATGACCTGTCTGACGGCGGAGCTGAAGGACAGTTCTCTCTCCCCCAGAACCTGCCCTTGCCACCTGTTCCTGGTAATACCAACGCCCTGTAACCACTGATTTTATTCTTCTCCACCTAGCTTTGTCTTCTCAAGAATGTCCTAGAAACACAATTATATAGTATTTTATTTTATTTTGAATTTCTCAAATTACATAAGGGAATATTTTCCACATAACTGGTTGCAATTATGGTTTTTGTATCTTGTGTAGTTTGAGCTTTGGCCGCTTATTTACTTGGGTCATAAATAGTGGGGTTTTTAAAACAAATTTATATATACTTAGTATGTAAGAATCATGTTCTCTTATTGTCTGTTGCACTGACCATAGAGTTCCCTAGTTAGGTCTTCGCCTTGAAGTCATTTTCTTTAAATGGATAAGACCTTGCAAATAGTAGCCTCACTTGATCTGCAATGCTGCAGTACTCTGGTGGTCTAGTCTGATGCAGTATTCCTAATTATAAAACATACCGTCAATAGACGCTATCTGAAAGATGCATTATTCTAGTATGGAAAAATTTAGTGACAGTCCAAAGAATATGGACTGTCATAGTTCAGTCCACTGAATATGAGCTGATAGCTGCAGATAAACGTGACCTTGTGGGATAGTTAATTTAAAAAAGAAAAACAAGGTGTTTGGTTCGAGTAGGTGGGCAAATCGTACAAAGTCGGCAGCAGAATCAGACTGATTTCTGAATCCGTGGCTGACCCTATGATAATAAGTTTTACCTCTTGGAAAACACACTTATCAATTTTTTGTCCTTTCTGAAGTGCTTTATTTATCCTTAAATGAGAAAGCCCTGTTTCACAGCCGTGAGTCAGTTTGGTGTTTTCTAAGTGATTCATAGTGTCTGAAGGCTTTTGTTTTGTGTGTATGTGTTTAACTGTGAAGAAAGAGACGTTTTTGAAACTGTCCTAAGTGAACAGGGATCAGCTGCTAAATACCTCCAGCCAATTCCACCACACACACAAATAGACTGTGCAAGAATTTTGCGGTGTCATATTTAACTAGTGCGACCAAAATAGACTCGTTCTTTCTAAAAGCATCGTCTCGGTACCACGCGTCATTCCCCAAACACCAGCTCAAATGCAGAAGAAATAAAAAGTTAAGAGACTTTTGCCTCAGTGGGCATAACTCCATCAATTGGAGTGGGGTTGACGCTCCGGCAAGTTCTCACTGAGAAGGTTGAACGCAGACTTCCCTCTTCCCTCAGGGAGTCAGTCCGTGGTTCCGGGTGAGTCCAGTAATGCCCTTGGCAGAGGGGAGGCGACAACCTGGGTTGAGAGACATAGTTGACCCCTTGGCAGCTCTGGCTGTCAGAGATAAAGCTCTAATTAAGGGCAGACAGGGCACCCAAAATAATGTATTCACATCCCCCAAATAGCGTTTGTCTGTTGTCATTTTCCAGGGAGCCACCATGTCACCGTTCCTTCGAATTGGGCTGTCCAACTTTGACTGTGGGTCCTGCCCGTCTTGTCAGGGCGAGGCGGTTAACCCCTACTGTGCCGTGCTTGTCAAAGAGTATGTGGAATCAGGTAAGCAGGAGGGGGTGTCCCCGTCGGGGAGGAGGAACAGCATCTTGATCGGTATGAGGCAAGGGCGTTCAAGGTCGTCTGGTTCAGCTGACTTCTGCAGTTAAGGACACCAGTGTGAAGGGAAACCAGGTATGTCCTCAAGGACACACAGGTGGTGATGAACCTGAACTATAACCTTGTGACCCACGGCTGTCCCAGTTCACACAGACAAAGGGAAGGAGAACAGCAGGTGGCAGGAACTCTGAGAGCTAATGGAAAAGGAGGAACCCAGAGAGCTGAGTAGATGTAGGCTCTGTATCACTCAGCCTGGTCACCGGACATCATTCCAGGCAGACGGAGACTGCCCAGCCCCGGGATCAGCCCCCAGGAGCACTTGCTGCTTCTCTGGCTGCGAAGCTTCTGTAACTAGCTAATAGAATCCAAGTTTCAGAAAACATACTTTGGCACTTACAAAGGCCCTAGGTGAGTGGCAGCGTTGTTGTGTCTCATCAAATTTAAATATATGCAGTTCATGGTAAGAAGAACGGGGCAGCACCTGAGGTTGCCCCGGAAGGGTCTCTTGGGACAGTCCTCCGTGCACAGACCTGTCTGTGGCCACCTCCACCAGCCTCCTCCGTCCCTCATGGTGCATTTTAAGAGTCAAGTGCATTTTCCAAAAGCAGGGTGGGAGGGAGTTTGTATCCCAAGACCGGCCCACCCTCTGGAGCTCTTCCTGTCTCCCTACAGACGTTTATTTCTGCAGACACTGCAGAAAAGTGTGACTACCAGGGATGCGGGTTTGCCGGGACTATAGAGGCTGTCACAGTCCTTTCACACTAAAGTGTTTATGGAGAACCTACTGTAAGGGTGCCAGGGACAGAACAGGGAGCAGGAAAAAGTCCCAAACGAGCCACAAGAACCCAGAAAGAGCACCTTCCTTTACAGTGTCCTCTCCTGCAGAAGATGACGGGCAATAAGCAAAATTATCACATGGCAGGTGACCAACACGGTGAACAGACAAGGGCAGAGAGAAGGGCAGAGGGCGCACTGGGCCGCAGGTGTGCGTTGTCCATACAGGTTCATCCTAAAAAGGCCAGGAGGGGCGGGACATTCACAAATGCAAGGGGAAACTGACTTGGATTCTGGGGTTCAAAATCCCACTATTTTGTGCACCCCCCCCAATAAAAGACTTTTGATTTTGAGGCTGACTTTATCCTTCCAAGTACTCTGAAGACATCAAAGCCCAGGAGATTCTGAATCATCGTGACTTCCCTCCTGCCCAGAGTTCTCTCCCTTTAGTTAAAAGTGAGAATGTCACTCGCTGAGGACCTAAAACCTTTCAAATGTCACAGACATCTTTGAAGTGCAAAATGCCTGAGCTGTTCAAAGCTGTGTTTGACTTAATGGGTCTCCTGGATCCAGTTCTCTTTACAACCTCAGGTCTTGCTGACATTTGCCTCCTGAGAGCTTTTCTGTTTTTCCTTCTTCTTCTTTTGGCCTTGCCTTTGAACTTGGTCTAATCAGCCTTGTGGATCAAGAGACCTTGTCAGGAAAGAAGAAAACTATTTTTCCAGATTAGCCTGTGGGGCATGAGGATACCTGGAAATTTTTGGTTTTGATTTTGTTTTGGGTTTGTTCTGAAGGACTATTAATCCCAGCACTCTGGGAGGCCAACGCAGGTGGATTGCTTGAGCTCAGGAGTTCAAGAACTGTCTGAGCAAGATCAAGACCCCTATCTCTATTAAAAATAGGAATATTAGCTGGGCATGGTGGCAGGCACCTATAGTCCCAGCTACTCGGAAGGCTGAGGCAAGAGGATTGCTTGAGCCCAAGAGTTTCAAGTTACTGTGAACTATGACGCCCTAGTACTCTACCAGGGTGACAGAGTGAGACTCTGTCTCAAAAGAAAAATAGAGAAATCTCTCCAAACATCGTCACTAGGGATTACTTCTTTAGAATCTAAATCTGCTTCCATCTTTGGTGCATGAGGCTGCATTTTCTGAGATGAATCAGCAGAAGGCCGCAGCAATTCAGTGGGTGAGATTTTGCAAACCAGAACACTCAGTGACAACAGAGAGAAAACTGAGTTCTGGCTTCTTTTGACCTGATTACAAATCCAGTGGATGAGAATATAAAAAAGAAAAAGAAAATGCCTTGCGCAGGGATTTTAGCCCTCTCTCTGGAAACTTTTGGCCTTTTCTCTGCACCTGTGCAATGGTTACAGTTGAAAGAAACCATCTGGAAGGGAAGCTTCGAGTCTGTGGACGTAAACTGGGACCGTGATTGTTAATATAGTCATTGGTTCCTAACAAGCCCGATCTTCAGTCCAAAATCTGTTTAACCAAGTCATAAAACTCTTCCCCTTCCTCTTCCTCCCTTAATGGTGTCCTGGTTTATACCTTCACCAGCCAAGTTTATCTGAAATTTGAAGTTTCAGCTTATTCAATACCGTGCGTATCCCCCAAATAAATCTTTAACAACTGCTAAGTGCCTGCTTCGTTTAGCCTCGTGTTTTGGAGAGAAGGGGCCCTTGGAGTTGGCTTTATTTCCTGGCTTTACACAGATTTTTTCTCCTATTGCTTCATCAACATCTCTGAATTGTTAAATCCACCTCTGAATTGCTTATGTCACATGAAACAAACACTCTAATATAGCTGTTATTTTCTGCTCCTGAAATGATTAAGGAATAAATACCAGAGAAAATCCAGTGTGGACAAAAGACAGCACAAAGGTCCTTGATTCCATTAGTAACCTCCTTCCCAGTCCCTTGGCAGCTTCCAGAGATGCTTCCCTGCACCTGATCCGTCAGTCTGGGCTCCTAAGCGTTCAGGGCTCACTCCTGTCCACCTTCCCACCTGTGGGTGTGCAGCCTGCTCTGCTGGCTCCCTGCGCCCAGACCACCCACACCTCTGTAGCCAACTTTTGCTTAGGGTCCATGGTATGTGTGAAATGTATCTTCATTCAAAAATTAGAGAAGGAGGGCGGCACCTGTGGCTCAAAGGAGTAGGACGCCGGCCCCATATGCCAGAAGTGGCAGGTTCAAACCCAGCCCCGGCCAAACAGACTGCAAAAAAAAAAAAAAAAAAAAAAAATTAGAGAAGGAAATAACAGCCTATTATGTTCTAATAGTTATTGTTCCCTAGTGTATTTATGCCAGATGGAAATTTTTAAAGTATCCTTAAAGGGTCACTCCTTATAAGCTTAAATTATGTCACCGGGTCTTTCAGGTGAACACACGTGGTTTGATGTAGACTTTCTTTTACTCAATATCAGTGAAAGTAATTGGCATATAGTTGACCCTTTATAAATTAACAAAGAAGGATCTCAGAAGGCAGAGAAGTTTTTTTTGTTTGGTTTGGTTTGGTTTTTTTTAGTTTATTTGCTCCAATATTCACACCCAAAGCAAAGCTGCTAACAGTTGAGTAGGAAAAGAACATTTCCAGTCCAAGACACAATCAGGCTGCTGTTGTCCAAATTATCTCCACCGGCTTGTAAGACTCGGTGCCCTGCCTTGTATTTGGATCTGAGAACTGTGTCGTCCTGTCCTGTCTCTGACCGTTCATATGTTCCTTTCATCCTCTGAGCAGAATGTGTCTTCCCCCGAGAGCAGAGGGAACGGGTCCCCCTGTCGAGATGAGTTGAATGCTCCCCCAGGCTGGCCGAGGGGGTAATGGGACCTCTCTTTCTGTTCCCAGAGAGCGGGCAGATGTACATTCAGAAGAAGCCCACCATGTACCCGCCCTGGGACAGCACTTTCGACGCCCACATCAACAAGGGGCGGGTAATGCAGATCATCGTGAAGGGCAAGAATGTGGACCTCATATCCGAAACCACCGTGGAGCTCTACTCACTGGCCGAGAGATGCAGGAAGAACAACGGGAAGACAGAGATCTGGGTAACTGTCCCGCTGTCTAGCGCCTGGGCTGTTACGTGGCAGGCACAGTGCTAGCTGGTGGCAGGCTCATCACGTCCTGTCGCC